TCTTCACTGCATCCATACTTTCCTTTGAAGATCTTTGTGTTATTATATTTAAAAAATTAAATTAAATAAATCCAGAGAAACCAAATCAGAGAAATATTCAAGCTTACTAGAATAAGGGGATTTATAGTGGTACAAAATAGAAAACTGGTGAATAATTTTTCAAAAAGGTAGATCAACTACAAAAAGAATGAGAATTTGGTTGCAAGAATTCTCCCCAAGCAGAGGAGGGTTACAAAGAAGAATAAAGATAAGGAAGAAAATGGAAGCACTTAATAGCAAGAATTGTGTTTGGACTCAATTTGAAAAGGAAAATGGGAAGAAATCCATGGGGAAAGAGAAAAGAATAAGCAGAATAAAAGACATATCAGAAACATGAAGTAACAGCTGGTGATTACCCACATAAAAGCATTCAGTAATAGGGTTAAAAAGATAAGAGGTTTTTAGAAAAGAATCACATAGAGGATTCTGAGAAACTCTGAGAGATAAAGGAAAAATTAGTCTACAATGCATTTAAAATACATTCTAAGAGATACGTAAATGATGACATAATTGAAAACATCATGAAAGTAGAATATGATCAATGTGTTCATAGTGGTGGGAGACAAGTAAAATGACTGCTACAATCAGTTTGGTTCAAAATCCAAACAGGATGAAACATGGGATGAATAATCAGAGAGGCTTTCCCCCCATTTGCTGAAGTTAAAGGACTGATCTCTTAAGAAAGAACATTTGGAACAGAGAAACGAGGGTGGTAGCACTACAGTTAAGAGGTCAAGATAAGTAATAATCTTTGAAGGAAAAAGGACAGAAGAAAATTCAGAATATGAGATAAGAGTAAGGGAACTAAACCAAAAAGATGGAATTAGAGATAAGAGGCTTGATGGAGGAGACAAAACAAAGTTAAAGCCCAAAAGTATGAAACAGGAAAGAGGAAAGACTAAAAGATTTTAGTAACATTATGAAAGAATTATGCAACCATTTAAAGAAGACACATGAAAAAGGGCAAGGTAATTAACCAAACAAGCATCTTGGGAATAAATACTAGAATAAAAAGAAAAGCAAAATAAAATTAGAGCTGGTCAGAGCTAAAGGAAAAAAAAAACAGCATTGTGAGACGTACGTATGTAGATACACTTCTACTTGATGGATATCCTCTTTGGTTTAGTCCGATATTTGGGGAAAAAATTACTGACGCTTTTTGTCACAGAACTTTGAATGTTTAGAAACAGTCCAGTGGAACCAAGATTCTGATTGTTCCCACAGAAATTGCTAGCTTCAACATCCCTATAACATCATTTTTTAAGATCCAGCTCCATTCCAAAGTGTGGTAGGACGTCTTTTTAAAATCAATCTATCTTGTAACTTTTATATTACTAATTGCGGTAACTTCACACTAGGGGGGAAAAGCTCAAACCCAAATGAATCATGCATGCATAAGTGTTAATTTTCTCAATTTGACTGATAGACAGATTTCATCCTATCATCACATCTTTTGGAATGAGTTCAGACATGTGGCAAATAGCAGGGGTCTGTCAGGAGCTAGTTCAGCTCTGCAAGCCATTCGTTCCTGTGTTCCAAATAAAAACCTTGCTGATTGGCTGTCAGCATTTGGCTCTTCATATGCCCAACATTCATCACAGACTTCACCTTCAAATGACAACAGGGGACAGATAGCAACAGGTTTAAATTTAAACATGTTAAAAAAGCCACATATTTCTCATCTGTTTCTTATACACTCCCAAACTGCAATGTTTCCAAGTATCATTCAGGTCAGGTGCTACTTGGTTATTTCAGCATCTTTTACACCTGAAAAAAACAGAAAAGGACTGGAACGGATATTCTAAAAAAAAAAAAAAAAGTCCTTGTAACCTCAACCTGAAGGGCTCTTTTTGTGATGTGGGGCTGCCCTGCCTCTTTGCAACCATCTCCCAGCCCTACCTCCAATCCCTGTAATTTGCAGCTGGTTGCATTTATACCCTAATTTTAGCAGCATATTGACATCAAATAGGTCTTTATTTTTCCTCCATAGTTTGTTGGGGGATTTTATGAAGACAATTCAAACAGCCTTCTTTTCATCTTGGCTTTTATCTTTTAGTACTTGTAAATGTTTTAAAAGAGCTTTATATTGATGCTAATATTATTTAAATACACTTAAATCATTTACATTTTCATGTAAACTTCCCTAAGGAAAGATGGCATACAGATATTAAGTGAATAATTTGTCCAATTGTCCATGTTTTCTCTGTCCCTCTTAAAATAAGCTGTGCTGGGCACCTTGTTGCAAGCTGTTGAAGACAAAATTACAGAGTACTATAAAAGAATCCCACTTTCCTCAGGTTGGAAATGTGCATGAAAGGATTGCACATTTGATGCCTAATATATTCCTAAATGAAACTTCTTTTTCAAATGTTAATCTTCACCACACCTGATATATTGAAGTAGAAGTTACATAGGAATAAATGCAACACATAAACATAAATAATATTTTTATCAGATTATCATGAATGTGTTTTTTCTACAAGCATTTTATTTAAAAAAATTAATAAAAAGTGTTTTAGATATACACTTTACTATCTGTTCTGTGGCTTTAAAAAGAGAAAATACAGCAATATGTAATTATAGATATGCTGCATATTTGATATTCATTATATTCCATAAAAATGGACTTTGTAATCATGTAACAATTTCAGTGTACAATAGGAATTGCATTTTAAGAAAAAGCTGTTTTAATACAATACTTGAGCTTTATTATATTTGAAAAACTCTTGCAAGGCAGGATAATGAAAATCCAACAGTTACTGTTATCACCAATGCATAGAACCCCAGTAAGTTCAGCTGTATAACATTTTGTGCTACAGGGCACTATGACCGCAAGATCTCCTTTGCTTTCCATCTGAAATGTCCCTTAAGATGGGAACATTTTATTTTGAAGTGTGTCAATTCCAAGCTTTTCAAAATTGAGTCAAATTTTCATTTCATCAAGATCTCTTACAATTTCGTCATCAATATCTCTTGGGACAGTTGTTGAAAACTTTAACTTCCAAATCAGTTAAAATGATGAAAATACACAGCAAAATTTTCAGAGTTGCATCCACAAGCCCCAAATCTTTACTAAAAGAAAAATATGTTTGACAATATTAGGTTTGCCATGTTGTGTTTGATTCCAAGTACCGGCATCAACAGTTGTATCACAGCAGCATTTTATAACCCTGAAACTTCAGAGGAAGCCCACTGAAACAAAAACACAGTACAGAAAGGGAACAAACCAAATTGTTCATTTCATCGTTTTTTCAATGTTGCACTCTTTCATACTTCCTAGATTTACAGTTGTGCAGGCAACAGAACACACTTCCCAACACATGAAGCATAATTTTTTCAAAAAAGAATTATGTAATATCTGGGTCAAGAGTGTGCACAATATTGGCCAACATCTACAGTGGTGCTTAAAAGTTTCTAAACGTTTTTGAATTCTCAATATTTCTGCATAAATATGACCTAAAACATGATCCACACAAGTTGTAAAACTAGATAAAGAGAACCCAATTAAACAAATGAGTCAAAAACATTCATTTATTTATTGAGGAAAATGATCCAAAGCTACATGTTCGTATGTGGCAAAGATATGTGAACCTTTGCTTTCAGTAACTGGCGTGTCCCCCTTGGGCAGCAATAATTGCAACTAAACACTTCCAGTAACTGATCAGTCCTGCACATCCGCCTAGAGGAATTTTAGCCCATTCCTCCTTACAGAACATCTTCAATTCAGGGATACTGGTGGGCTTCCTTGTATGAACTGCCCACTTCAGATCCTTCCACAACACTTCTATAGGATTAAGGTCAGGACTTTGACTTGGCCATTCCAAAACATAAACTTTCTTCTGCTTTAACCATTCTGTCGCATGACTTGTGTGTTTTGGGTGGTTATCTTGCTGCATGACCCACTTTCTTTTGAGCTTCAGTTCATGGACAGATACACTGACATTTTCCTGTAGAAATTGCTGGTACAATTCAGAATCCATAGTTCAGTCAATGATGTCAAGCCATCCTGGTCCAGAGGCAGCAAAGCAGGCCCAAACCACGATACTGCCACCACATTTCACAAATTGGGTAAGGTCCTTATGCTGGAATGCAGTGTTTGCCTTTTGCCAAACATAATGCTTTTCATTCAAGCCAAAATGTCCTACTTTGGTCTCATCTGTCCAAAGAACTTTCTTCCAATAGCCTTCTGGCTTATCCATGTGGCGTTTTGCAAATTGTAGATGGGCAGCAATGTTCTTCTTGGAGGATAGTGGCTTTCTCCTTGCAACCCTCATATGTACACCATTACTGTTCAGTGTTCTCCTGATGGTGGTCTCATGAACACTGACATTTGCCAACACAGGAAAGGCTTTTAGTTCCTTGGATGTTACCCTGGGCTTCTTTGAGACCTCCCAGCATATTACAAGCCTTGCTCTTAATGTGATCTTGGTTGGTTGACCACTCCTGAGTAGGGTAAGAATGATGTTGAATTGCCTACACAATCTGCCTGACAGTGGACAGGTGGAGTCCAAACTCTTTAGAAATAGTTCTGTAACCTTTTCCAGCCTGGTGAGCATCGACAACTTGTTTTTCAGAGGTCCTCAGAAATCTTATTTGTTTGATCCACGACAACACTTCCACATAGCTGTGTTGTGACAATCAGACCTTGATAATGAATACCCAGAATTCTGTGTTTTAAATAAGGCAGGACCTCCCACACTCACACCTGATTATCATCCCATTGATTGAAACACCTGACTCTAATTTCCCCTTCAAATAAATTGATAATTGCAGAGGTTCACATACTGTTGCCACACACAAATATGTAGCTTTGGGTAATTTTGCTCAATAAATAAACGAACAAGGATAATGTTTTTGACTCATTTGTTTAATTGGGTTCCTTTTATCTAGTTTTAGAACTTGTGTATAGAACAGATCATGTTTTAGGTCATATTTATGCAGAAATATTGAAACTTCAAAAGGATTCACAAACTTTTAAGCACCACTGTATTTGGAACTCTGTGTAAGTTCCACCACTGTTCATTGTAGTCCCTCCCATTCACCAAAAAGCCACTCTTGAACACCAATATATACTCCAAAGTGGGACAGAAGTCTGTAAAGAAATGCTACTGAAAGACATTTGTGACAATCCTATGTTCATATAGAAATCATACACAAAACTTTTGGACCTGAATCTGTATAGCAGATTGTGTCCTGAAAATTGAAATTAGCCTACAGTCAGAGTTTGGAATTTATACTCAAAATAAAGAAGCAAAACCAGAATAATAGATGCAAAAAGCACTTGGCAAGATTGATAATTAAGAAAAAGAACCTTTATTCTGCTAATAAATACAATCTGAAACATTGGAGAACTGATACAAATAGCCAGTCACTGTATCTATTGGCCCAAATTAGTCTCCTTGTTCCCTACAGGTAGTCCTCAACTTACAACCATTTGCTTAGCAACCATTTGAAGTTATGACAGCGCTGAAAAAAAGTGACTTACAACCAGTCCTTGCACTTATAACCACTGCAGCATCCCTGCAGTTACATGATCATGATTCAGTCACTTGGCAACCGTCACACATTTATAGTGGTTGCAGTGTTTTGTGGTCATGTGATTGCCATTTGTGACCTTCCCAGCCAGTTTCCAAAGGTCACAATTTGCGGTCACATGTCTCACTTAATGACCACACCACTTAATACCAAATCTTCCGGTCCCTATTGTGGTTGTAAGTCAAGGACTACCTGTATATAGTATATTGGTAAACAGATAGTGTAATAATTTTGAATTTTTCCTTGATTTGAAAAAAATATTATAAGGTTTGCTTTACAGGACATCTGTATCCTGGCCTATCTTTTATTTCTATTAACAGTTGTAATCAAGCAAATATTTCACTAAAAAATAAAACCAAGTGTGTTTTTACAATGCAGCCTAATTTATTCCAACAAAAGTTATATTTGGGGTTGAAAATCTTAAGGATCTGCACACTGAAGACGAAAAATTAAGGCTGGGCAATGTTTTAAATTTGATTTCAAAAAGTGCTTCAGAACACACAGGGGCATGAACATAGTGTGTCTACAACAATTTAAAGCAACTACATCTTTTCTTAGGATCAGACAGCAGCTGCATGCTCCTAGGAAAAGATACAGATGCTTTAAATAGCTGCTGAAATGTGCTACATTTGTGCCACTGCAAGCTCTGAAGCATCTTTTTGGAATTAAATCTCTAGTAGTGCACGTTCCTAGAAGAAATATTTTGAGAGGTTGGGGAATGGAAGAATTGCTGACCATAGAAATGGAAAAGAAAATGGGCATACTGCAGATATCTTGTTTCACAAGACTGTAATTTCAAAGCTCATGTATATTGTTTTTGGGAAGCTATCAAATCTACTGAGGTGTGCAGCTTTTTGTATTATGCCTGATCTTAATGTCCCAGTCAAAATTTGGAAACAACTTATTAAGTCAGTTCAAGATGCTATTTTTGGAATAAAGAGATTTCAGATGATCAACAATTAGTAAACACCATGTTTTGTTCTTGGTAAATTCAACAGAAGTTAGCAAGTCTAATCACTTATACTGGGAGAAAAGTATATGGGCAAGTTTTTGCAGTTTTACAGAAGGTGTTAAAATATACCCACTGCCTTATCATCTTGAAACATTATCCTTAACAAGAAAGATATAGAAAGGCTTAGAAGTCCTGCCTTGTTATGTTTGTAATACTATGTTTAATAATTAAAATATAGAAAATCTATATAAAAAAACTTTATTCTCTCTTCACATGGAATAAGTCTCCTTTAAATTTATTTTGTACAAAACATTACATATTGCCCTTTTCACTCCATAATTTAGATTGTCACCACTACATCTGCCATTTGATGCAAAGCCAGCAGATAGTTCTATATTAGCAATGCATCATAAGAACAAGAGCACAGCACAGAATCAACTGGTACATCATAAAAGCTGAGAAAGAAAATGATCCTGTCTCTTTGTTTTGAAAGTACGATACAGCTAGATGTCTAGATTAAGTCTAATGAAGGCACAATATCTCTCTTACAACAGAGAAGTAATGTATGCATTATGGCATTGGCTCACTGTATTGAGAATAGTTTGTACACACACGTATTATACACACATACAACGTATATATGGTGAAGTGTTTCATCTATATCAGAGCTGAGTGTTGTTTTGTTCCTTAAAGAAGGAAAAATGTGGGAAAGAGAGTGCTGGAGGAAGTCCTGCTTAATTTGTTGCATATGGCCAAACGTGTTATAAAATGAACTGCATGCTACTCAGAAACTAAATGGACTATTCTGTTAACAAAATCAGATTAACTCAGATGCTAGAATATATCCAAATATTTGCCCACAGGCAAATCAAAAGATTCAATCTAATTTCCTTTGTTGTTATTTACACAATTACCTTACAAGTCATATTAATCACCTTGGCATTATTCCAAAAAAAAGGGGGGGGAACATTGTAAAAAGAAATGCATTGTACTTTTATTTTAGAAGTATTTATCAAACCATATGTGCGGATACTTGAGATGATGACAGTGTTAAGCTTCCTAGGGTCCTAGAGTCAAAGAAATTTTGCTGCCCCCCACCGCTAAGTAAGTGCACTCCTTCTACAGGGGGCAACATCTGCCGATCAGTCATGGTTCCACTTGGTGATGACCCCAAGAAAGTTCCTTGGGAAGAAACAATTTTCTCAGGACTTGCAGCCAGTTTGGGGGAGGTGGAGAAGTTGTATCCATACAGAGCACAAGGGCTATGCAGCCTGAAAGTGTTGTAGGAGTTCGGATGGGTCTGATTTGTGGGAAAGCCATTGCCAGATGGAGAAGGTATAATATACTGGAGCTGTGGAGACATCCCTGAAATTTGCATCGATAAGCCCGCCTGCGGACAACCAAATGCATCACCATCGCTACCTGTCACAGGCATATTCACAGCTGAACCACTTGATACGCCAACATAAGAGGGAGTTCCTGGGGTTGCAAAGGTCTCACTAGTTTGATTTGTAAGCCTGTTGTAGGTTTCAGCCAAGGAAGTACTATACCTGTTAAGGGTTAGACCTGAGCGAGCACAGGCTGTATAGTCAGCTGAAGCAAGGCTGCAGAACTGGCTAGTATTAGGAGCTAGGTGAAAAGCAGGAGAAGAACAAGGTGACCCAGGAAGGAGATGTGGATGAGTGGTCGGTACCCCATTGCCAGATCCCTGGAGCAAAGTGGAAGAACCAGTGTTTCCTGAAAGGAAATATCAGAATATTACAATCCCAAGGAAAGGAGTTTATCTCTCACTGTTGTATTTTGCCCTAAAGGTGGCTAAAATGAGATTACCCCAGGTTAGCACAAAAATGGCATTCTTTTTGCCACCATAAACAAAACTGAACAGGCTAGTGGTTCAGTGACTTCAAGAGTGGCAACCAGATAGCATCCACTGTCACATCTGAGGACAGCAAGCTAACATAAGTGCAGAGAATGTAACTTTTCCTCTTGACTAGGGCAGGAGGGAGTGGGGAAACTTCTGCTGCCCCTTTTACACGCCTCAGCTTTTGCCATCTGAGGCAACTACATCAGCCCCACACATTATAATGTAGGATATACTGAAAAGTAAATAATTGTTTGAGATTCTTAGCTAAGAACAGATCTGAAGAAAGAATTTTCTTTCTATATTTCATGTATAAAATTATATATTATAGCTCAAAATTTTGTTTTATTTGTGGACAATAGTTTCCCATTGTACCACCTCATATTTTTTATAAAACAATCCTCAAAGGGCACTACCAGTAGAAACCTCAATGATTTATTTATTAAAGCATGAGAGTTACGGGTGACTACGAGTTGGGGGGGGAGGTGGGGCAGAAATGAGGAAAAATGCATTGCAATGTCATGACACACCGTATAATGGGAGTTATAAACAATTAAACAAAAATCTATAAAACCAGAATTGAGAATTCAATAAACACAACACTCATGTCGGACAATTTAATTAGAAGGGATGTTGAGCTGCCTACCTCTTGCTAAATACATGGAGCAGCTGGGCTTGTGTTTATGTAAGCCAGTCTTCACACTATTATAACTATTGTGTATTTATAGAACTAAACTATCATTTATCCTTACTGGATCCAACATTTGCTTTCTTTCACTATGGAAAGCTTGGAGGAGGGCATGCACTACTGTATTTGATCAGGTAAGTGTGTAGCTTGTACATAAATTCTTTCTCTCTAGGCCTTAGATCAAAGATTGAGAGAACCCAGATTGGAATCTGTTAGTATACAGTAACTGTGGGTGATTTACAATGTGCACAGCAGAGTCTGTAGTGATGTGTTGAGGAGCACACCATAAAGGGAAGGGACAAAAAAAGAAGTGGAAAGTCGAGGACAAAAGCTAGGATCCAGTTGGTGAAGCTCAAAAATTTTCTTCTTTTTTTTAATGCAGCAAATGTGGATGGGAGGGAAGGAATTTTAATGATTTAGTGGTAATTGATGCGGAAATTGTTATTGTTGTTATTGTTGTTATAATTACAAGTTGTTATTGTTCCAGCAAGATCTGCCCACCTCTATTTCTGGCTAGCTATTATACATCAACTATGCAACTCACATAAAACATTTAAAACCAATTATGTTAAACTTCTTTTTCTTGTTAATTCTGTACCTGGACTGGTGTCCTGTCCCATAATATGGAGTCAAAGGTCTTTCTCCTGTCCTATCGAATCAGCATAGGACTTCAACATCTTTAAAATGTGGGCTTTAGATTCAGAACTAACTTTCCTTTAAAAATATTTCTGACACATAACATTTTCATGTTACTATGCCCAAACTGAACCAACTCTTAAGTTTTGTTGCTCATACTCTTTATTTCAGGAATTCGGGAAATTCTGAAAGAAATGAATCTAAGTATTTGAATGAAATAATGCTAGAAGAAACCAAGTTACTGCTTTTGTAAACTTATTACTTTACCTTTAAAATATTTTAGCATGAAAAATAAAATTCTTAATGTCTGGTTATGTCAAATTAGTTTCTAATTTTTATACTGTACAAAGTAGAGAATATTTGTTTAAAAAAAAATTCAGAAATTATTTGGCTTGGAATGATCTTGGAAAGAGATTAACAAAAATGCCCAATACATGATCCAAAAATAGTTATTTTAAAGGCACATTAGTTTGGCTGGATCATAGGTATAATGTATGCATGCACTGAAGCAAACCAGACAGGTCTCACTTTTAGTGGTAAACAACCAATTTTCAAGATGATCTGCTTCCTATTTTGTTTTAATTTAATTATTTTTTCCTAAGTAATGTTTTAGAGTAGCTTTCCAAGAGCTAAGTTGCTACATCAAAGGCAAGGTCAGATCTGCTGTAAGAACTACAAGATCTCTGCTCTTCTATTAAACTTGGACTGTCAAGCAGGTGCTTGCAAATCCCATGAACTGAGTTATCTACTAATTTGAACTCAGTTTCCACTTTTACTTTATTGTAGGAACAGAGCCCAGAGTTACATGTGAACAAAGTTAAAATTTTTGGCCTTTTTGTGTGTATTTGCTTATTTTTAGTGGGACTGGAAGTAGTTTAAGTGGTAAAATTGGTTCTTTAAACCTTAAAGAGGTTTTATTTTGAACCAGGGTGGTAAAAATGAAGAAAACTTTACACACACACACACACACACAGACAGATAGAAGTAGATATGAGATAAATAGCTAAAGTTTTAACTAATATTAGCCATTAGCCAAAGGCAAAATCAAGATACATTATAATTTGGGGGGGAAAAAACCCAATTCTTAAGAGTTGATCTGAACCTTGGAAGATAGGCTGAGGAGTCCCCAGCTTGACAGACTAGGATATATCAGGAGACTCAATCTGGCGGATGACAGCGTACCACCATTTTTTTTTCTAGAGAATCCTCAGGAGGTCTGATAGCAAGGAGAAGTCAGATTCCTAAGAAATTGCAATGAAGGAACCTTTTGACTGCTCCCAGATCACTTCGGTAGGTGGTGTGGGCTGTATTTTTTCATCTTTTTCAGTGATTATGGACTTGGGGCTGTACTAATATATTCTGAATTTACAATTTGTCCATGGCTTTATTATTCTAGGATATCTGAAAAAAGATATAAAATTTACAAACTAAGGTGCAAAAGCCATAGATTATGTTTTCCCTTCACTCTGTCATCAAGAAAGCTTAGAATGCTACACGTCTTTTATCCCCAATCACAGAAACCACACAGAATAAGTTAGGATGAGAATGCAGAATAAGCTGCTCTGCTCAGCTTTATAATGTAGCAAGCATTCAAATTCACATCTTCGCAATCTACCTCCCAACGCTCTAGCCTATCTTCCGCTCTAAGAGGTGATGGACTTTAACTTTTATTTTTTCCAGCCTTTACGACCCAAGGCTGTTCTAGACGGTATAACACCTTAGCTTTTCAGACTACATTTATGACTTCTAAACTTCTACTTTTAATATGCTATGTTGAATAAATGGTTCCTTGACCTATGTGTAATTATTTCCCTATAAAAAGCATATTAGAGAGGAGGCAGGCTCCGCAAGATTGAAAAACCAGTACTTTTGCAGCAACAATAGAAAGGTCATCTGCCAAACTTCAGTCATTTCTGGACTCTCTGCATACACACCTGCAATCCTCACCAAAGTTGCTGGGGAATATGAGGGCAGAAAGATGCATTTTTCTAGCAACAACTTGTTTTTGTGAGTTATGTCTGTTGTGATGCAAAATATTTTAGGGTATTGGTCTTGAATGAATTCTAATTTAAATGAACACAATATTTCTTTGTGGATCTGAAAATAAATTTGTCAACTTTTAAAAAAGTTTAATCTTCTCATTCTGCAAGTTTTGGAAATGAATTATAGAAGTGCAAGATCCATTTAAATCCGTATACAATGATCTGATGAAATGGGGTACTGTATGATATTTATTAGTACAGTGGTACCTCTACTTACGAACTTAATCCGTTCCGTGACTCTGATCGCAAGTCGAGTTGGTCGCAAGTCGAAGTAAATTTTCCCA